TTTAGGGTTTTGGGTTTTGGGTTTCGAGTTTTGGGTTTAGGGGTCGAGTTTAGGACTTTGCAGTCTCGTGGAGGGAGGAGTTTCGGAGTAGAGCGCTTTGAATTCCGGCGGTGTGTGCATTTACCTTAAAGAACCGTATCCTCAGTGGAGCCTCGAATCCAAAAAAGCAATGGCAAAAAAACAACAAACAAACCTAGCCCTAAACCCTAAACCCTGAACCCTAAGCTTAAAACTTTTCCCTGCCCCCTTCCCTTCCCGAGCGGTCGGGTTCGTAAGGCTTTAAATGCCCTTTGCTTCATTACTGAACTGCGAGCTTTTCGCCAAAGGGTCCTGTATGACCCAAGACATAGCAGTAATTCCTACACCCTATATTTATAAACCCTAAACCCTAAACCCTATGGTTTATAAACCCGAAACCCTAGACCCTAATTCCTAAACCCTGTGGTTCAGAAACCCTAAACCCCAAGGCCTAATTCCTAAACCCTATGGTTTATAAACCCTGAACCCTCAACAATATGGTTTATAAACCCTACACTCTAAACCCTAATTCCTAAACCCTATGGTTTATAAGCCCAAAACCCTAAACCCTACTACTGTATAGGTACTTAGGACCCGTAGGGTCCTTACCTAAGAGGGGACTGCCATCGAACAGAGCAGAGAGCATGCAAAAGTGCATAATCTAGGGGCCTTAATGATTACAATAAGGTTTTGTGGCCATTTTCACTATGATTATAATAAGGAACCCCCAAAATAAGGTAGGTAAGTATTCAAGCCCCTAGATTCACAAAATGCTGGTTCCTTGACCCTTCTTGGCTTACAGGGCTTTGGGCTTAGAAGATAACTGGTTGCTGCGAAGGACCAGCAGGCATCGCCGAGCTTGCAGTAGCCTTCGCGCTCGAATCGACACCTGGAGGAAAGCATGCACAAAATCGATACCCGACGAGCGCAGTACGCCTCTATCGTAGTTATTGGCAGCTTTGAGGCTTCTTATGATGTCAGGAGCGCAAACCCCTGAACCCTACGTCCTCAACAGTGCTGGTTACCATTGGCTTTAAATTGAGGTTCCTGTAGCAGTAAAGCAGACCGGAGAGATCGGTTACTTGGATGTTCATGGATAGTTACAAGTGGGGATGGGTCAACAGTATAGCTACTCTACTTACAACCCCACTTCGAATGCTTTAGGGTTTTTTAAGTGCTTTGAGACTTTCTCCCCGCAGAGGTCAGAGCTTTGGGGTTTAGTGTTTAATTACCCAGGAACCTCCAAGCAGATCCTTGCAGCATTGCAAGTCTCAGTTTAGGGTTTAGGGCGTAGGGGTCATCCTACCTAAACCCTAAACCCTAAACCCTAAACCCTAAACCCCAAACCCTAAACCCTAAGCCCTAAACCGCCAATTGGGGGTTGACCTGAACCCCTTAGAGCCCAAGGTCGGAGCGCAATCCAAACCCTACAAAATAGTAGATTATACGGCTGATGATATAAATCCTGCATGTAGGGTTTAGGGTTTAGGGTTTAGGGTTTAGGGTTTAGGGCATGACCCATAATAAGGAATATACCATAATTCTCATAGTTTAGGGTCCTTATAAGGTAATGCAGGATCTAGATCATCAACAGTATGACCCCTTTATGGAAGGTTATCCCTCGATTAAGTGGGATCCCCAGGTTGAAAAGCCTGATAGAGAGTTAGGGTTTAGGGTTTAGGGTTTAGGGTTTAGGGTTTAGGGTTTAGGGTTTAGGGACGTGAAAACTTAAAATCCCCTAAAGCCCCGCCCTAAACCCTACTTGGACCCCAAAAGTATGTAGAAGAATAGCCTTTTGTAGCTGTCGGGCCACTATTTTTACTTACTTTTGGGGGTATAGGTACCCTTAGCCCCTAGACCCTGAACCCTAAACCCTGAACGGTTAACCCTGAAGCCCTGAACTCTATCAAGCCTTCGAAAGCCCCACCTGATCTGGGCACAGGCCGCTTGCTGCTCGACGGCTCCGTGGGCGAAGGCACAATCTCGCAAGCGCAGGCAGCGGCCCTTCCTCAGGGCTTCCCAAAGAGCCCAAAAAACCCTTAATTAAGGAATAAACCTTAAATTATGGGGGCCTTAATATTATCTCGAAGAGATACAGGGCACTCACTTTTGCTTTACAAGCCTTAGCGGCGTCAGAGATCAGCACAACATGCCGCGATTCACACTCCCCCTTTGACTTACAGTCAAACTGTACTGGAGCAATCGGGCACACCAGAAAAACGCGAGCAGCTCCACTGCTCGATGAAGCCGTTTGGGCTTCATGTAGACTCAAGGCTTCTTTCCACAACAAAAGGTGTTCATCACGTATTCTTGAGACGCAGCTCCGTGCGTCCTCTCCACTCATTTGTTGGCCAGCAATTGCGCCGGCTTGCTAAGTCGCGTGAAATCATCCACATGGACCAGTACCTGGCCCGAACTCAAGCGTCCGAGGGTTCGCCGTTCTCCGGTAAACCTGTTCAGCGGCGGGCCTCCGGCTGCTTGTCCTGGAACGAACAGATTCAACCTCGCCGTGGGATGGTAGCGAACTGCCACGCCGCGGCGCTCATCAATCTCCCAGTAGTCTCGCTTTCCACTGGGCATCACGAAGTCGGTCGTTGTAGTGGGGAACCAGTCATCATGTAGAGGTTCCGGAATGGTGTTGGAGGCCTCCTCTCCCCGGTGAGTCGACTTGCCCTCCGGCGCAGCCCCGCAGTTTCCAAAGAGGAGTCGCGAGGTGAGTCTGAGCTGACGGGATCCACCGCCCCAGGGCGAATCGACCTATCAAGCTCCTCTACCCCCCGACTCACTCCCGTACTTCTGCAGCACTGCTTAATGTAGTCGAGAACCACTTTCAAGGACTCCCAAATAGCAATGACCGCAACCAAGCACACGCCGAGGAACAGGTAATCGAAGGGCTCCTGAGTCTCGATCTCGGCTGCCTCCCCTCGCTCCACCACCAAAGCTAAGCATAACAAAATGATCAACTTCTTGGCCTGTGTCGCATTGACGGCAGTGGCACCTGGACTGTAGCGCTTCCTTGTGACCCTCATTCTGTCAACAAGGAAACCAAAACGATCTGCAGGCAGGGATTTGGTTCCAGGTCGGCGAGCATAATGCGACCCTCAACATGAAATGCCATCCAATCTGGCAGCTCGAGGAGTTCTCGGATCATGTTTCCCCTGATCCTCAAGTGCCTGGTGCGCCAGCTGCCTGCGGCGCAACGACATACTACTAACGCCGCCTGACTGTCCGAACAGATAGCCTTGATCACTTCAGAAGCACGGTCTTTCGAGGAAAGCATGATCTCGGCCACCAGCTGCTCCACAGACTTCACACAGGTAGTAAGCTCGCAAATCGCCACCAGTTCACTTTCTGCTGTAGACATGGTGACGAAGGCCTGCCGGCTACTTGTCCACGCCACCAAACCACCCAGGACGAACACCATGATTGCTTGCTGGCTTCGACCTGAGTTCGGAGCAAAGCTGGCATCGCAAAAGCCTTCAATCACAACTCCCGGAGAGGACACCTGAGCATCAGGGGTGAGGTAGGGCTTGGAGGCATAGAAGATTCCTCCTTCAGGGTATCGCTTGAGGTACTTGATCAAGTGCCCCCCTCTGTAGACTGCCTCCTTCGGTCGTTTGCTGATGGCCTGCGACAACAAATTCACCGCATACAGAATCTCCGGCCTGCAACGTCCAGCTAACCACTGTAGCTCACCCGCCATGGTCTGAGCGGTCCGGACAAAGTCCGCGGCATTCTCCCCGTCCACCAGGTCAAAGTCCTCCGAGTTCAACACCGTCGGCGCCGGGACCTCCTCGTAGCCTTCCAGGTCCTTGTACCTGGCCAGGAGATCCTTCGTGTAGCTATCCTGGCGAAGAGTGAGCCCTTGTTTGGAACAGGAAATCTCAAACCCATTGAAAGCCACATTGTCCCATTGCGGCTCGGTGCACTTCCAAGTGCTCGCTATGACACGAGCTGCCTCCTTGGCCACCTCGGGCTCGCCAGCAATCAAGAGTTCATCGACATAGCACAAGATGGCTCCCGCTCGACGGCCACCAACTTGAATGTACCACAAACTCCCATCGATCTCCGAGGGCACGAGCCGAACCTCTCCTTCTGAAGTGGCTCCTTTCATCTGGGCCATGGTCTTGTTGCGGTACACTTCCCAAGAGCGAGGCGAGGTAACCATTCCATAAAGCGCGCGCTTCACGCGCCAAATGGTTTCCTTACACACACCACCCATCAAGAACATCTTCGGCACTTGCACCAATGTAGGGCGATCCTCTTGAAATAGAAGTGGAGCTAGTAGGAAGGCTGTGCGCACGTCCATTACACACACACACACTCCATGCCATCATCGCCACCATACGCAACAGGATCCTGGTAAGAACCCCATCCGCCCCGGCCGCATACTTCTGATCCTTCGAGAAGCTCTGGCCAAGAAAGTTCCCGCAGATGACAGCCCGGGTTTTGAGTCGGCCAGTGAACGCCTTGACAGTGTGCACGGTCTTGCCGGGCACCAAGTCAAATCCTTGCCTTCCTGCTTCCACTGCTCCAGCTTCTCCTCCGGGAAGGGCTCCACCGCTTCATTCTCCCGGATCAAGCTCTCATACTCAGACAGCATGCTGGGCACCCATCGATCCAACTCTTTCCTCACCACCTCATTGGGAATGGTCTTCGTATGCAGCGGTGCCTCATTGTCACCCTCGACGAGCTCAGCCACACAAACTTTGTCCTCCTCCAAACCTTCATCCTTTCTCCAAAGCTCCATCTCTGCCTCCAAATCTTCCCTGCTGGCAGTCCAGCGCTTCACTTGACAATCCGCAGAGCTGCCATGATCCTGATCTTCCGCAAGGGCTCGCTCCCAATTCTCTTCTTCCACCAGAAGACAGCGAACTTCATCCAAATAACCTTCGAAGAGATCCCAACCCACCTCCAAAGGAGCCTCCGAAGCCACGATCTCATAAGACACCTCGGCCTCAGACGACACCGGCTTCAACGTAGCAACCATTGGAGGACCGAAGGCACCCCACGACTCCTGAAGCCATGGATCTTCTGAGCACTCCTCACCCTCGTCGTCCCCAATGTAGAACTGAGCAACACCACCACCAGTCTCTTCACCAGGTAGACGACAAAGACATAGCGAGGGATCTACCTCCCATCCTTTGCATTTACAATGACCCCCACCAGCAACGCCATCACGAGATTCCGACTTCAGGTTCTCCCCCGGTCCCTGACATCCATTTGAAAAAGGACCCCCACCAGCAACGCCATCACGAGATTCCGAGTTCAGGTTCTCCCCCGGTCCCTGACATCCAGACAAAAAACACACCTGGTCGTGATCACCTTCCCCTTTTTCACGCTCACCACCAATTCCTCCTCCTTCTGGCGAACCCGACAGAATTCCGGGGGGTGGCAGTGGAAAACCAAGCTCTTGTAGTAAGTCACGATGTGGCTGTTTGCAATTGTCTGAGCAGCCGACCGTATAAGCGGTGATGGTAATGCGGTTGCCCTGCCATGGTAGTGGTTGGGTTGGTGCAGCTGGCATGGATCGAAAACTACCGCCTTGTGGTAGGTCGCATATCGATGGCCTGGCAGCCATTTGCCATTGACCTTGTGCCAACTCGTACTGTCCCTCACATCACTCGCTGGAGTGTGGCACCACAGTGCTCCACCCACGTAGTTTCCGAAGCCGAACAACGTAGCCGTCTCGCCGGCCTTGTTGTTCACATCTTTGTGGCACTGCATGGGCGTGTTGAAGTTGAGGGATATAGTAGTGAAGGTAGTGTCAGGGCCACTGTGCTCCTTTACTGCCGCCACCAAAAACCTGGTCAGGAAAGGGCGAGTCCGCGCCAACGTAGTCGCTCCAACCACCCCACCATGACGAAACATTCCCAACACGTGAACAGAGACTTGAGGAGCTCCATCAAAGACTTCCGGGCGACGACCAGGAACCAAATACTCCTTAATCCACAAGCTCTCAAGGAGCTCCTCCACTGCTGACATAGAGTAGTCCCCGGCCTCCAGGAAAAGCGCCGCCAGCTCCTCATCCTGAATGAGGTGCTCGTCCTCCAACTGCTCGCACCTCAAAGCTTGCTCATCCACAGCAAGCTTTGCTTTGGCAATGGCCACTTTCCCCCGCAACCTCCTCCGGACCCCAGGTTCCTCCGCCCGCGCAGGAGGAGCATCCACCTCAAACTCCCCAGAAGTCTCCTTGACATTGGTGGTCAGGTAGCTGCCTTCTTCCGTACGAACTAGGAAACCTCTAGCAACATCCATAGAAGGACACAGAATCTTTGCAGCGACCACCTTCTCAACGAACTCCTCCTTCTTGAGCTTCCAGGATCGCTGCTTCACAAACACCTTGGTTCCGAAAGGAGGTAATCGAGGAAGACGTCCTCCTAACTGAGTCACCACTTGATACTGAATCCGTGACACATAGCGTTGCGCATCGCAAAACCCCACATATCCGCTCCCAGCCCTGACGCAGACAGGTAGGTCCGAACCGCATTCTTTGCCCGTCCCACCAGTGCTTCCACTCGGCCATTAGCGCGGTAGTCATCGCCCGGAGTGGTGGTCCGCACCAGACCACGATCCCGACATAGAGCTCGAAAACTCTTGTTGATGAACTCCCGGCCTCGATCAGAGTGGATGCGCTGCACCACCAATCCAAGCTTCTTCACTTGGACCAGAATATCTTTCGTAGCGGCCAGCACCTCGGCTGAGGACTTAGATCCCATGGTCCTCCACGCAGGACACGCCGTCGAGCTTGTCCTTCTCCACCCGAGCCTTCCACTTCTCCAGTTCACGACGACTTCGCTCCTCTTCCACCGCAGAGGCCTCCTCGTCATCCTCCTCAGCTGGTCCTTCCTCGCAGATGGGATCATCGTCCTCCAGAGGCCCAACACCACCTCCCTCATCTGCACCATCATCAGGAGGCTGAAGAAGTTTTCCCAACATGTCAGGAACAACCAAGGTGCCAATCAAAGCATAGCGGATCTTCTTCACATACTCATCCACTCCTTGTCG